CTACACAGGCGTTTTTTAATAGAATATCGTGAAAAAGATTTCCCTGCCCTATTTCGCCTAAAACCAAAATATGGAAAATTTGCCAGTTTCTGATCAAAACCATGGATTAACCCCTTTAGAAAGATCTCAATCTTTCGATTGTTTTAACTTGTAGCTATAGTCTAGAGAGGCGTTTTTTCTTTATAGAATATCGTTGAACACATTTTCCTGGCCTATTTTGACTAAAGTAAACCGATACAAATTTGCCAATTTTTGACAAAAAAAATGGACTAACCACTTCGAAAAAATCTCAATGTTTCAATTCAACGTTTGTGGTACATTTTACTGTATGTCCACTATTTTCTGTCTTATGGAAAAGGAACGAAAAATTCGTGTAAAGTTGATGCAACTGTGAACTTCTTTTCAACAGTTGCAGGCAATATTACTGTAAAAGCAAAACGTAAGTCAAATTTGGAAAATTATAACTTAATCTTGTGTTTTGCAACCAGCGCGTTCTCATTGACTTTAAAATTCAAGGACGCGACCGCAGCGAGAATGTCTAAAAAAAACAATAGGTTTGATTAAGCAAAACAACAACTTTGCACGTGCCTCGCACTTTTTTTATACATTTCTTTCCCGTTTTTGCACGACTACGACGTGAAAATGCCTTTTCTCGTTTTATGGGGGACGTAAACAAGCAACGACGAAATTTTATTTCTCTTCCTGAGCTTGGATATGGTCCCTTGAAATTCAGCTTCGAGATGGTTCGCCTACATTTGACAAAGTAAGTGAGTAGGAATAATCACTATAAAGACTGAAAGAACGCAAATTCACTTTTTAAGCGACCTTTTTGTTGCTGTCGCGTCGTTGGATCTTAAACTCCCTTATCGTGTCCTCTTCATCAAAAATAGTTTTGTAATGGTAACAGGACTGAGTGAAGTCCAATTCGGTCTGTAATCATACTCGTGATTAACAAAACCGGACGACCGCGTAGCGGGAGTCCGATTTGTTTAATCACGAGTATGATTACAGACCGAATTGGACTCCACTCAGTCCTGTTACCAATTCATCATAACTTTAACAAAATTTGTGATATAATAGGCTATTTTGTAAATCAAAACACAAGGAATTCGAAATTTTGTTTTGGTAGCAGTGAAAGCTGGGATACCCGAGATTTTGAGGAAAAACAACTTTTACAAATGATAGCCATATTTTTCATAGCTGAACTGAACGGACCTGAGTGAATGAGGATGTTGTGTATGAATCAACGAAATTTCCAAACTATTTTTTTGGCCTAACACGCATGCGTCTTTGAAAAACCGTACCATGAGTGTTTTAAACCATAAGTGAGCGAAATGAGTTTCCCATCCAAATATAAAGGTCAATTTTCTAAGGCAAAGTTAGGTTGATTTTGCTGGTGGGGTTATAGGGCGGTGAGAGATGGCCAACTCTCTGAAGCCTGCTTGACTAACCCGTGCGGTAGATATCCTAAAGTACCCCCCCCCCCCGATTTTCAGTTTTCAATAACTTGCTCTAGCTCTTTCTCTGATATCCACGTTAGTGTAAACATAAAAAATAACGCCGAAAAAGACACCACTTTGTTGTTGTTGTTTCTTTTTAAAAGTCCGGGCGGCCATGTGATTTCGTTCCAAATAAAACCTTGAGTTGCATTTGGGTTGCCATACCTGTTGATTGAGTTATTTTACATTGGTATGCCTGTGGTGCGGACTCTCGCGCGCGCTCGGTATGTCATATTGGGTTTATTTATTTTTCAAGGTGGTCGAGATAGACAATTAAATGCTATTCAGTGGTGTTTTAGAGCGATGATACGGGCACCAAGACCATAAACAAAGATCTTGATTTTTGCCGGTCACCTTGGATTTTTTCATAGCCTGCAGTGCAGGCGTATTTTGGGTGGGCGAAACCTTGTTCGTGTTCGTACTGTTGTAGCCGCCATCTTTGATTTTACGACAGTGGAAGATTGGGGAGAGTAGAAAAAGTAACCCTACGGGTAGGTGCGAGGGCGTCATTTCCTCCTCTCTTCGGTTTTAACATGGCGGTTTCGCGAACAAAAGCATTTGCGCTCCCGAAGAAAACGCCTGCACTGCAGGCTAATTTTTTCATTGTGGTTAAGCTACAGTTTAGGGTCAAGTTTGAAACTGCTTCACTCTCTATTTCTATTATAGGATGAAAGTGACAAAGAAATTTTGTTTGGTAATGTTTTCGAGAAGTGAGAGGCGCAGTTAGACCACTTTCCAAGATTTCTATATTGGCTGGTGCTATCTGCTGTATTATGGTTGTTGTCATCAGGGTTTCGATACCTTTTAGGTTTTTGGGGCCATAGTCTGAAATTCCTCATACAATCTAAGAGTGCGGGGTGACACCTAGAGTTGGTTCCTGCCTTTCTTTAATCCCTTTACATGACTCTATCAGAGGGACATGACTCTTAAACAGACATCTGCTGCAAGTCCCAAAGGTATCAAAGAGTTAAATGTATTCTTGTTTTTGGTCAAAAGCTGCCAAGAAAGGATGACAACGGATATCTTAATCCATATTTGGCTGTTAACAAAACCTTGGAAAGACCAATTGGCATTTTTGCAAAGGGGTTAACTCATGATTTTTGTCAAGAATTTGAAATTTTTTGAAGTCTGTTTTTCTTTCAAATAGGCCTAGGTGTACGGTTTGATGATGTTGTACATAAAAAACAAAGCTTTCCATACTTTGCCTGAAATAAAAAAAAGGAAAAATTGCCAATTTTTGGACCAAAACGATAGACTAACTCCTTTAGAAAAATCCCGCTTTTTCGACTTTTTTGACTTTTTTTTATGGTCTACACAGGCGTTTTTTAATAGAATATCGTGAAAAAGATTTCCCTGGCCTATTTCGCCTAAAACCAAAATATGGAAAATTTGCCAGTTTCTGATCAAAACCATGGATTAACCCCTTTAGAAAGATCTCAATCTTTCGATTGTTTTAACTTGTAGCTATAGTCTAGAGAGGCGTTTTTTCTTTATAGAATATCGTTGAACACATTTTCCTGGCCTATTTTGACTAAAGTAAACCGATACAAATTTGCCAATTTTTGACAAAAAAAATGGACTAACCACTTCGAAAAAATCTCAATGTTTCAATTCAACGTTTGTGGTACATTTTACTGTATGTCCACTATTTTCTGTCTTATGGAAAAGAAACGAAAAATTCGTGTAAAGTTGATGCAACTGTGAACTTCTTTTCAACAGTTGCAGGCAATATTACTGTAAAAGCAAAACGTAAGTCAAATTTGGAAAATTATAACTTAATCTTGTGTTTTGCAACCAGCGCGTTCTCATTGACTTTAAGATTCAAGGACGCGACCGCAGCGAGAATGTCTAAAAAAACAATAGGTTTGATTAAGCAAAACAACAACTTTGCACGTGCCTCGCACTTTTTTTATACATTTCTTTCCCGTTTTTGCACGACTACGACGTGAAAATGCCTTTTCTCGTTTTATGGGGGACGTAAACAAGCAACGACGAAATTTTATTTCTCTTCCTGAGCTTGGATATGGTCCCTTGAAATTCAGCTTCGAGATGGTTCGCCTACATTTGACAAAGTAAGTGAGTAGGAATAATCACTATAAAGACTGAAAGAACGCAAATTCACTTTTTAAGCGACCTTTTTGTTGCTGTCGCGTCGTTGGATCTTAAACTCCCTTATCGTGTCCTCTTCATCAAAAATAGTTTTGTAATGGTAACAGGACTGAGTGAAGTCCAATTCGGTCTGTAATCATACTCGTGATTAACAAAACCGGACGACCGCGTAGCGGGAGTCCGATTTGTTTAATCACGAGTATGATTACAGACCGAATTGGACTCCACTCAGTCCTGTTACCAATTCATCATAACTTTAACGAAATTTGTGATATAATAGGCTATTTTGTAAATCAAAACACAAGAAATTCGAAATTTTGTTTTGGTAGCAGTGAAAAATGGGATACCCGAGATTTTGAGGAAAAACAACTTTTACAAATGATAGCCATATTTTTCATAGCTGAACTGAACGGACCTGAGTGAATGAGGATGTTGTGTATGAATCAACGAAATTTCCAAACTATTTTTTTGGCCTAACACGCATGCGTCTTTGAAAAACCGTACCATGAGTGTTTTAAACCATAAGTGAGCGAAATGAGTTTCCCATCCAAATATAAAGGTCAATTTTCTAAGGCAAAGTTAGGTTGATTTTGCTGGTGGGGTTATAGGGCGGTGAGAGATGGCCAACTCTCTGAAGCCTGCTTGACTAACCCGTGCGGTAGATTGACTTACCGGGGGGGGGACTGTCTAGCTTGCTGACGGGCCCCGATCTCCGGCCCAGCAAGTGCAGGGAGGTGCTCGAACTATTAACTCGGTCCCAGAGGTTAAATGGGAACCCTCGCGCCGGAGGTTAAACGGCTAACTCTCTCCCAGAGGTTAAATGGGAAAAATGGCCGCCAGAACACCTCCCTGACAGGGTTTTTGCTTTTTTGTGTGTGTCGTGTCACGCTGTCACGCAATATGTATATTTTTAACCCGGGGGAGACTGCCATATGAAAGGATCGGGGGTGTTCGTCGGAAATTTTGAATTAAACCTGTTAGGGAGACCAACCTGGGCGTGGGCCATCCTTTTTTTGATCCCTAAAAGAGACAAATTTCAACATAGTTGGCTAAACAAAAGATCCATGTCATTTTGTATTAAAACTGAGATGTGGTGGCCTGTTTATGTTGAAGGTGAAGGTCTGTTCTGCTTGTTGTGCAAAAAACATGACACGTCTTATCCTCAAAACAAGTTGAAAGTTTTTAACAAGAAGCCCTGTAAACGATTTCGCCTAGGAGAGTTTGAAGATCACTGCCGTACTTCACAACATATGAACGCAGTTGCAGCGGAGATGCTACGGAGAGTTTCCGTGTTTCAAAGAACCCCTGACGAACGTGAAATAGTCACAGAAGATGTGCTGTTGAAGGTGTTCACAGCTGCGTATTGGATCGTCAAAAAGAGCTACCTAACCACAAGATCAAGTTATATGTAAGCCCCCAATCTTGCATGTATTCTCGTTTGGTGGCCACTTAAAAAACCGCACCAACCAGGGTAGTATTTTAGTGTCTCAGAATGTTGTAGTTCCCTTTAATAAAGACGTAATCATCACCATGATAAAACTGCTAATAATAGCTCTGCTCTTGATGAAGACTGCCCTTTTTTGGTGGATATAAAAGAAGCCCTTCTTGACTATAAAAATGTCAGTTTTTCAAAGTCCCAAAAATGGGCCTTTTCGAATGGGGTTAACTCACGATTTTGGTAAAAAAAACCCTCGATTTTCTTCTTTTTTTTCTATTTTAGTTAAAATAAGACCAGACATAATGTTTAATGATGTGTTAAATGCAAAAGAAGCCTCTCTAGAAAATAAAGATTTTTTCAAAAAATTTTGGTTAGACAAAAATTCAAATTTTTTCTTTACATGTTTTTGGTGAAAATAAGACTAAAAACGGAATCATCGGCTTTTCATCGATAAGCCCTGAGCAGTATTTAAATCAGCGCACAGTGTTTGTTTTACATTTTTCGAAATAAATCTGTATTTGCAAGAGATCGTAATAGGTTAACTCTCATATGGAAACAGGTTGGTCACGTGGTATAATTTCTAAATCTCTCTAAGGGAGTGAGACCAGGGACCAAGATGGCGCCTAAAAATGTGCTTGTTTCTGAACTTTACAGTGATTTCACCGTTTGTACTGAACTTCAACACCGTGGCTGAAACGGTTCATCATCTGGTGGCTTATTCGTCGTCGTTTAGCTCCTGTACGTGAAAAGAAATGTGCTACTTCATCAACAGGAAACAAGCTTTGACGCAAAGCAGCACAACAAGTCTGTCGGCCCGGAAGTTAAATTAAAGGTAAGGCTCTTCTGAGATCGTAGAAATGTGGTAGAGACTAAGATTCTTTTATAAATGTGAGAGTTTAAATTTTCCAACGGCTGCATGCAGGGCTGTCAACCCCCATGTCTTCAAATATTTTAATATTGAGAATTGATACAGTACGACACATGACATCATTTGTGCAAAAAAAAAAAATACTGGTTTACCCCAATCATCAGGAATTTGCGATGAAACAAACACGCAAAAAAGATGTTCGCATTGTAACATTTGACCTGATTGGTTTACTTTCCACCAATCACATTAATTCCTACTTTACAGTGGCGTACTAGAATTTGTGAGGAAACCTTTGATGTTAACAGTTGAATAGCCCAAGCATGCAGAATATTTGGAATTTTATTGTTGAAAATTCGAGCCTACAGGAAATGGCAAACTTTGGCAATTAGCTTTAAGATTTCATACTCAAATCTGGATTTCTGGGGACAGGCAGATACAGTCCAAAATCTGGAGTCCCTTGAGTTATCCAGGAGGGTTGACAGCCCTGTACATGCATACATTTCTTGATTCGAACTCTATTAAGAGGACCTTTCTTGATAAATAATAGGGACCTTAGGATCCAAGGACGGTGACGGCAACCGCAAAAGCAATAGGTTTCAGGGGCGGATCCAGGATATTTTTCAGGAGGGGGTGCACTCGTCTCTTGCTCTACTTCAACACCAATAAACCACATAGTTTTTTTTGCAGAATACCAGTTGTATTAAAAAACCGCAGGTCATCTCGGGGGGGGGGGGGGGGGGG